TAAACATCAAAGCGAGAGAGAGATGTAAAAGGCAGTGGACGCAGAAGCTTTGGATGTGTGGGGGACTGTGTCTGGCTGAGTTAGACTGGGATGTGTGCTGGGAGATGGGTTCAGGGGTACACGCAGGCAGTATCGGGGGAGGGAAACCTGGCATTTTGCTCTCTAATTCCAGCCGGCCTGGAGGCCTGGAGCGCTAAGAAGGGCCTCACTGTTGCTCTCTGCATCAGCCAGGTATTGCTTACATAAAAAGCAAGTGAAAACAGCTGTAGGGATAATTAGCTTGATTCTCCATTACATGCCATGAGGGCCAATAACTAAAAAATGGAGTTTTGTTTGGGTTAGAGCTGCAGCCCCAACCAGGAGGAAGTTGTAAAAGTCAGGCAGAGAAAAGAAAGAAAGAAAGAGGGGGGGTCGAGGGGAGAAGGAGCAAGCTCTTGAAGCAATTGTTGAGAGGAGATACTTTCTCTTCCTGACCACATTTAAAGGGTTTGAAAAGGCTACGATCCTAGGATGATGGCATGGCCATGTGATCTCAGTTTTTTGCTTTATTTTTTCCTCCTTTTTTAGTGCTTTTAGTTCACAGCGTTGTGTGACATCAGATTCATGCTTTTAGTTCACAGCGTTGTGTGACATCAGATTCGTGCTTTCAGACTCACTTCACAGTTTCACTTTTTGCACCTTAAGCATTTCCTGGGAACGAACCTTTCTTTCTTCTTTGTTTGTTTGTTTTTACCATCATGGAGCATATCTAGTCACCACTAGTGTAAGGCTCTGATATATGATAAGAGATTTCCTGGCAGCAGTTTCAAAACAGTAAGATATGAATGGTCACATACTATGTCAGGATTTACAGATTTCCTCCAAAAAAACGAAGTCATGACTATTAAGACAGGAAGAAAATCCCCACTGTGCTTGTATTTCACCCTAAATATCTTCATCATCATACAACCAACTGACTTGCTTTATGTCTCCCCTCTCTGTAGACTGAGCTGGGGGGGGGTTCTTTGTGCTGGTAATTGAATTTAGTGTGTTTCTCTTTTTTCTTAGTGTGACAGAGCACCAACCACAGGGCTAATTCCAAGTGAAAGAGCAGCACTCTAACACTGGTGGTCCCAAACCTCTGCAAGGATCCATTTAACAACAAGTTTATATAAGTAGCACTTAAAGACAAGAAGGAGTTCAGCCGCATTCAGACTCTGGGGTTTCATATCCAGTCCTCATGACGGACGAGTAGATAACAAAGCAGAATATCCACTTCCTGAATCATTTCTACACAATGTTTCTATAAAAACAGGCGGTGTGTTTAGTCATTCATTCATTTATTTATTTACTTACCTCCTTAACCTGAAATAAACATCAGATGTTGCTAATTTTGGTACTAATCATTCACACACACGTACCCATCGTCAAGGAAGCCAGGAGAGGAGGGGTAGGGATAGGGATGGGTATCGAAAACCGGTTCTTGTTGAGAACCGGTTCCCACTGTTTCAATTCCTTGGAAT